CATAGGAAGGAGGAATATGTGAGAGTACAAAGAGGGGAGTGGCAGGGGAGGTGTTAGATTGATGAATGACGGAGGAGATGGAGGCGATATGAAAAGGAGGAGGAAAGGGTGGCAATGATGTGTTTGTCACAAGAGACTAAGTCATACCAATACAAAGGGGAAATATCCTCTTTTATTCTCTGATTGTGTTAGGTAAATGTATCTTTCTCACATAATTTGGGCGGGTTTGAAGCAATAAGCTTTATAAAGTTACTACAGATCGTGAAATTTTGCAACAAAAGCCCATCAGGAGATTAAAATGCAAACATAAATAAAACATTCTGACAAAGCAAAGAACCGTGCAATGAACTGATGATGTGATGGTGTAACAGAAGTGGATGAAAGAGCGAAAACTCAATGAGTGCTGCACAAAGTCAGATTGTGTCTCATTAAATGAGCTTTCCTATGGTGCAACAAGACAAGGAAATGATTCTCCAACGGAGGGAGAGATACTGAGGGGGAAATGAGAGCTACAGATCACTGTCTGTCCCTCCTGCTGCCTCCATTTACCATCATTGATCGTACAGCCAGGCTGAATTGATGCCTACCTGCTGTACTCAGACGGTCTGTGTCTGTATTAATGTGTACAAGTGATGGGAGCAGGGTGCCTGCATGTTTCAGTGGATGGCTGAATGTTGCAGTTCTCATATTTCTCTTTCTAATAAATGCCCCTACAGGTATAGAGAAATGGGAAAAGCCCTGCTACGTGAGGACATGTTGCCACAAGAGGGTTAGCAAAATCAGTGAAGCTGTCAAAATATTCACTCTACTTAGTTGTTCTTTTAACATCTGACACTTTGGCGCAAAAACACTTGGGATCTGAAACGTCATTTACCACAGTGTCACCTGAATCTTCCTGAAAGTATTAGACAAATATTTTCTTTTTTTTTTCCTGAAGTGTTCAGACAGCTTCTTCTGCAACAAAACTTGTACTACTTTAATTTAAAGCTTTATAGCAACAGTTGATCTGCTGTTGCTATAAAGTCATTCTATTGTGCGGTATCTGCGGTGGAGCATGTTGACACCTCCCCTGTTTAAAAAAAAAAAAATTGTGATTTGATTGTAGTGTCGAATTTACCCCATTACTCCAAACAAAGTTGAGAGAACAATATGCATATATTTAATTTCTATTTTGATGCTAAACATTACAAAAATACAAACACTATTACACATTAAAGTTACTATTAGGCATCACGTAGTCCTTTCTAAGCTTTTATTTTTATCTGAAGTGAATATGCCTGAGCTGAGCTGTCATAACAAGTATAGGAAGAGCAATTGTAGAAAGAAGTTACATAAGGTGACAGATTAGACCAAAATTAAAGTCTTTGGCCTAAATGCAATTCACAATGTGCACTGGAAAATGTCTGAATACACCCAGCCTACAGTTATCATGGTGGTGGCAGCATCATGCTTTTCCTTAGGGTTAGTGAAGCTGATCAGAGCTGATTTATGGGGTCATTTGGATTCCTGAAAGAAAACCCTGTAAGAGGGTGAAAAAGCCTTAAGACTTGGACAGATGTTCACCTGCCAGCCAAACATGGCTTAGAATGGCATAGTCAAATCTGGCAGATCTAAATGCAGCTGAAAGACTGTTTCCAGACACTCTACACCTAATCTCACTGATTTTGGCAACTATTTTGCCAAAACCCTGTCAGTCTCCATTCATGTGAAACTGTTGGGGACATGACACTCGCAGTTGTGACTGCAAGGAAAGGTGGTTATATGAATTATTCAAACTTTCCTTCCACAAATTGGGCAGTGCAATGCGTTTTTCTCACATGAAATCGCTACAAAAACATGTTATTAAAGTTTGTTTAAAATTGACCAAATGTAGAGAAGAGAGTTCACGTAAATCTTTTATGAGATCAGGTTAACAGGAAGCTTTATTTAGGTGAACATATTTGATTTGACATTGTTTGTCCATTTAGAGTTTGGCAATTAACACATTTTATGAGTTTGATCTTTACAGAAGCCTTGTTAAATTCCCATATTGCCATCATTATCAAGGCTTTTATGCAGGACACCTTAATTGCCAACATTTGGATCGGTGCTTGAGAAAAGCAGCTGATTGTTTTGCCACCAGTAAAAAGCTGGTGTGTCCTTGATCAGCCTGCTTTTATTGTTCACCATCCAAACTGGCGTTGCTCCTGTCGGTCTCTCGTTCAGCCATCTGTACACAGTAATTGTACCATTTACCATTTTCACCTCCCACCCCTTTGACCGAAAGTAGTTTTTTACCTCTGCCTCACCCATTTCCTTTCTTCTTCACGTCTGCTCTCCACTTCCAGCTGTGCATCCTTTGCACTCTCTCTCCGAGTGCCTCTCCATGTGGGCGATGTAGATAGTTGGGTGGCTTTGTGCTTGGCACGTGTGTTGGAAGGGGGCGCGCACAGACACCCACACCCACACCCACAAATCCACGTAAACATACACATTCATATACAGGTCCAGTTTGTATTATCTGTAAGATGCTCAGCTGTGAGGCCCCTGGCCCTAATGCCCTGTGTGTGGGGTGAGGACAGGACCCCCATTGTCCCGTAGATTAACCACCACACACTCAAATACACACCCACATGCTTCCCCAGACCCCCATGGGGTCTCTTAAATGTGGATGTGCCTTCAGGCAGAAAATCATGGGGCAATTTCCAGCAGGGTCCAGCTGAGGACCTGGGGAGGGGGGTGTCGGAGTCTTTCAGTTTGAAGATTTACATATTATTCGATCTTTTGTCTGTTATTTGGATGACAGAAGTTGGTTTCGAGCCTTTTGTTCTTCTGTTCTTTAATAAAAAACATCCAGGAAATTGGAATGAGAATCTAAATGGTGATGTGAATTGACAATGCTAACATCTGTTTAACCATACATTGTCTTTCTGTATGTCTTTGGTTTTAAGGTGCAAATGTTACATTCATGCAACACACATGATTGTAAAATAACAACAGGAACAATAAAATTGAAGAGCCAAGAATTTTAGTTTAGTTGATACATCAGCTAAAAGGTGACGCATAATCTTCAGCATCTTTGCCTGAATTTTGTCGATGTTTTTATTCTAAATAGGGGAAGATTGGCAAATATAGTGAAGGTTTTGTGATAATCGATGCATTTTTTGTCAAGACATTTAACGTTAATCAAACAGCATTCAGACAGCTATTTTTTTCTATCATTCCCGCTATCAGTAGTCATTAATTAGAAATATTCAAAGCAAAAACAACATCATATCACCTGTCAGAGAGAGTATTGTAAAAATGACCCAAAAAAATATTACCATATTTTCCTGACTTTGCATCATCCATGTTGATGAAAGGTTTATGATCAGCTGGTTGCTTTTTAAGAAACTATATGGGTTTGGCTTGGAAATGTGAAATGCCAACGTCCATACTCTAAATCAGGATGGTCAGGAACATCTCCCCCGTGTTCTGACATTCTGTGCTACCTCGTCAGATTTTCCTACCATTGTTGGTGAAGTGCGCAGCGAAGCGGAGACGCCTGCAGTAGATCCCAGGTTATAGAGAGGTGGATACTTCATTTCTTCAAGTATAAATTAATTTTAAAAAAAGCATCATGAAGAGAAAAATTATATGCAAGTCGCTCTGGTCTAAAGTCACAGGACCAGGTAACCATGAAAAAAACTGTGACTAATAATCAGGAAAATACGGTAGTGCCAGAGAGCAATACGTCAAGAACATTATTGGATGCCCTGTCTGTAACTATATATGTCATGGTAATGTATGTCTAATGTAAGAAGACAGTAAAATTGCTGTATTTCACCAGATGTTAACCTCCTTCCCTTTGTGTCTGAGAATGTGGTAGTTCAGTGACAGTGTTTTCTTTGACGTCATCCAGCCACTAAATGTGTCCTCCCTGTTAATTGCAGATGTGTGAGAACAGAAGTCAGGCAAACCATGAATTACTGTCTCAAAGCTGTATTGCTGCATGTCATGTTTGGACGCCTGAGCTGATGTGATGTAATGATATGACAGTCGTATTCTTGGACTTGAGGTTTCGTGGGCATTTTGGTTTTCTGGTAGTCATGGCAGTCCTGAGCGAAGGAGGAGGAAGTAAAGTGGTTGGGTCTGAGTTCTTTATGGTTTGCTTTAGTCTTTATTACCATTTCCTGTATATGCCTGTCTGTGTTAATGCTTTTCAATGCTTTTCAGAATGTGTGTAATTAGAAGAAGCCTAATTACACACATTCAGAATTGGGTGAATTTACAACAAAGGTGACTGTGAGAATATTAGACTGGAGCAGAAGGGAGTGGCACTGAAAGTTATATTAATTGCAAGTAAAACAGACACATCTTGTACTTACTTTTTAACATTCTTCTATATGGGCATATGACCCAAGTCTTAACTCCTGCATGGTATTTAAATATTTGCTTGTTTACATCGGCCTTTCATACACGTCTGAACCAATTCCCTCATGTTTTGTAAGAGTATTTATCTAACTGAAGCAACTCAGGTTGTTGGAGGTTCCCTGTGATTTCTGTCAGCATGTAGTGGCACCAGTTCCATTAGGTCCTGAAGGTTGGAAGCTAAATCAATAAATGAACTGGATCTTGCAGACTTTGGGGAAGAACATTTTACTGTATATTCGTTTCACCTGCAAGCGATTTTAACTTTGTAGCTGATCCGTGTAAACCGATGTGACACCCCAGACGTGACTGGCCTCCTGCACCTTGATGCCAATATTGTGCACATACTGTGCAAGTGCTCGGCATGCGGCACGTGCAGGGGTTTAAGCGTATGTGCACATGTGTGTGTCGCCGTTGCAGACGGGGGAGGGTCAAGCTTGGTGTGGTTGGTTGCCTCTGTGTGAGCTCTTTGTAAAACCGGAGAGGGAGCCGGAGAGGGGAGGGAGGTGAACCGGGTGTTTCTCTCAGCTGCCGGCTGGTCTGGTTGCTGTTGGTAACTTTGCTTGATGAGATCAGAGGGATCAGCTTTCAGGCTTCCATATCTCGTGCTCTCGCTCCCTTCTCTCCCTCTCTGCTCAGTGGCTCTTTCTCGGAAAGACTGAAGTGGAACTGAAACTGGAGTTGGGCTGAGAGTGTATTCAGAGCTGCTGGTTGTCCACTGTAAGCGTCATGACTGCGCTGCCTTGGAAACCCTCAATGGAGTTGCAGCAGAAGCGAGCCTGGGGGAGGTGAGGGAGAAGTGATAGCCTTAGGACAGATAAGCTCCAGGGAGGGAGAGGAGAGCGAGAGGGGGAGGAAGGAGGTGGGCAGCTCTCTGAGTAAAGAGTCTCTCTCTTTCAGTTGTGGTCAGAGTTGCGAGCTGCTTGTCTCTTCCTTGCACTGTCTTCTCTATTTGAGACTGCGTGAAGGAGATATGCTGCTTTTTGTTTGAAGGAGTTTGATGTTTCTTCGTACCACCGTTTAGACGTTCATGGACTCAGACTGAGCTGCAACATGAGGTGAGATATGAAAAGTCATTACAAACAGTTTGAGCTATTCTGCTATCTGAAGAGGTGAGATGAATCTCTGTTTGAATGAGATTACTTCTGTTTAAGCCATTGGTGACAGTGTCTCCAGTTATGCACGCAGTAGTTTAGACTTAAAAGGAGAACTCTCACGACTTCTTTTTCATTCTGTTTACATTAGAGGAGATCAGCCTCGCTCTGTTGCTTCTGAAGATAAACTCAGTCTTGTCTCCTCTAGCCCTTGGTACCTTTCTATGAGCTCCTCCTCACTCCATTTCACCTCACTTCACTTATCTTCTGCTGCCTTTAATTCTCGTAATGGTCCGAAGGTCTCAGCTGGCCAGCTGGGATAACCCCGGTGTGTGTATGTGTGTGTGTGCGCTTTTGTTTGGAGCAGACCCATGTTGAGCGCTCTCTTATAAGCTGTCCCTGGATTTCCTCTGCTCACATACAATAATAGGATGGATCCTGGTGTCTATTTTTAAACCCCTTGTTTTTGTATTTGTAAGAGACACCTCCGATGTGAGTGCGTGCTCCGCGCCGTCTGCAGCAGCTTTTCTCACAGGACTGTGTTTAGTCTATGGATTGCGCTGGGAATGTGTGTTTGTTTGGTCCGTTCGGGGATAAAGCCGTATCAGCTCTCTTTTTTTGACTTCATCCTTTTGTTTTGTCAGCTGCTGACCTCTGTTTCTCTCACTGTTATTCTTTCTTTCTCTTTCCATGTCCTCCATTGTTTGTTTTCATTCACTCTCTTTATTCATGTGTATCCATGTGCAACGTTCAACCACCCACAGTCTGTGCCTGATTTTTAATTTTTTTAAAATAGTTTTACATTAGTTATTCCTTTCCTTTCACGTGTTTCTTTTAGCTGAGCTTTCCTCCAACCCTTTTATTTTCAGTTCTTTGCCTGGTTGCATTTTGACGACAGTGAAAAGATTTCTGCAAGTGTTATTTGTTCATGTGTTGGTGCGTGTTTGCGTGTACAGAGTTGTGTGAATTTACACTTCCTTGTGCTTCTCTTTGTTAAGAATAGTTCTGGTTTCCAAGATGCGGAAAGAAAAGCAATGCTTCAAAAACTCTTGAATAATTTTTTGTGAATGATTGACAAATTAAATGTATCAGATTTATCTTTCAGTGGCATGCAAACATAGACTTTTTTTGTTTGAAACTCTCTGGTAAAGCCTTTTGATGCATATGTAGCTTAAGCAAATTGATCATAGTTATCCAAGCTGCCAGTGTTTATATCTTTGTTTTTTGTTTTTTTTTACTTTTACATTTATAAATATTCTGTGACATGAGCATTATACCTTAAGGTGCCATATTTGTTGCACATGTGCGTTACTGCTACAAAATCAAAAAAGGACTAATCAGATTTACATCAGTGATTGAATGATAATGATTCTCAACACATGCCATGCAGACGCTCTGTCTGCTAAGAGAAAAATTTTTTCACCTCAGCATGCTAAGTGTTTCGATCAGTCCAAGCAGATGGATGTCAGACCTGTTTTCCATTAAGCACAGCTAATAATTATCTGACCGCTCATGCTCAAAAGAGCAATGTATTTTCATCCCAAGATAGTTAGGCAATCATTAAGCAGAGAAAAAAAATCATAATTTAAAGGGAATGGTGATGTCACTCTATCCTGAAATAGCAGAACATTGTAGCACACACAATACAAAATAGGGATACATCATTAGCGACACACACTTTTTACAGACACAATAGGACATGTTGGAGATGATGTTGGAGTTTCTGACCCGATTCTAATGTTTACATTTGAATTTGGAGGCAACTCAAGATATGAATACAACCTACATCAATATAGCTGACATTAGAGTTTATTTAACATTTTCACAATACCGATGTATATTGCAAATAAGTGCTTGAACTAGAATTAATACCTTTATTTCTGTCTCACTCATTATTCATAAACTTAGCATGTGTGAATACTTGTTGTGTTCTTTTGTTTTATTTTTAGTTTGTACGACACAATGACAGTAACAATGCTGAATGTTCAAGTAGCATAAAACAGCTCAATTGTAGTTTCCTTCAGTTATCTGAAAGAAGATAAGAACATAATTTTGAAATCTGTTTTAGCAACTTTTATAAGAGACTAGCACTGTTAGCGCTAGTGGCATTGTAATATCAGCCGCTCTATGTAAATATTCCTCCTTATTGATGTTGTTCAAGTCATTGCTGATATTCCTAATCCTTTACGCTCCAGGAAGATAAAGGTTGAATGCAAAAAAATATAACTATGACAACAGTTGTTTATTTTATTTAGCTTCCCTGTTGTCTGCAGAAGGTCTCTGTTTCTTGTTTCTAAATATCCAAGGTTATATTCTTCATTGTACAAATATGAGAAACTTCTGTTTCTTTGAATGTTTTCGAAAAACTGTGCTTTCTTCTTTTCAAGATTAAAATAACCTCAAAGAAGGTTATGCTTTGTAGCAGAGGGCTAACTCTGCAGCAGAAAAAATGTTCAGATGGCAGAAAAATGCAACAGGCTTTCCCCTTACATTTAAACTTTAAATACTCTCTTAAATCAACCATTTCCTGCAATATTTTATTCATGCAAAATGCACTTTTTCAAATATACAAACATTTATGTTAAGATGAGAAATAGTGTGACAGTAGTTTAACTGTCCACCTCTGATCTACACGTAGTTTGTTAGCACAGAATACGTTAAAGCAAATCTTTTAGTACGTGGGTGAATTCTTACAATATTTTCATCTTGGAAATATCAGCTTGGCACTTTTACCTCTAAGTAATGGAGACAGCTTTGCAGAGCTGCTTACACAATCACTGGTATTTCTTAATAAGAATTATAAATCATTCATTAGTTACTACAAGGGCCATTAATTAATGCACCAATGATAAGATGTAATTAATAATCTTGTGCCAGTTTATTAAATTAATCTTATTAAACTGTGAAAGTGTACAATCACTCTGAGATTCTGGGTTCTTATAGTTTGTCCAGTGTTGAGGAAAACATGTTTGACCCATTATGGATTTCTTCTGTTTTTGCTATTTTTATTTATTCATTATCCAACATGCTTATCCCATCAGGATCCTGAGGGGTACTGGTGCCCATCTCCAGTGGTCAACCTGTGAACCCAGGATCTTGTCGCTGCAAGTCAACAGTGCTACCAACTGCAAATGTTTTTTTTTTTTTTTATCACATATAATGTGATATTTCTCATCCTCTAACCACTTTTAGATATGGTTCAATACATAAAGCAATTTACAAATGATTTCATTTATTTACTGGATAAATCAGTGTTTTATTCATCTTTAGAGAATGACTTTCATTCTTATTTGCTGAGCCCAACAGCTTTATTAGCTTTTTAAGCCCTTTCAGACTGATACATAGCAGTAACTTTGTTTCGCTCTCTTTTTTTTAAGATCAGGTCAATATACGTTTGCTTTTATCCCACTTCAGGTTGTTTAACAGGTTCTGCTTAAGTGATTTCTTGGTTCTATAAACCTGGCTGTAATCAGGCCTGTGTGTGGCTTAGTATGAAATTGAATAAAAAAATATAGTTTGCCACAGCAAATTCCTGATTTAACAAGGAATTAAATTATTTTTACACAAGGCCAGGTTGGTTTGGATAATCAAGGAAACATCCTGTGAAAATGGCTTTTATTTCTATGTAGTCAGTTGAAACTGTGATCTTAAATTTATAAGTGTGACAAAATAAAAAAACTGAAAAAACTGTACCATGGCAAATACATTCACGTGGTGTTAATACGGTACATTTGCTTTCTCCATTTTATTCGCCATCTACCTATCGATGTGTGCTCTGCTCTAAGACAACCATCCAGTAAAACAGTCTGTGACCCAAATACGGCTTTCAGCATCCAAGAGTTGAAACATTTCTTCAGTTGCATTTGTCTTGTGTGGGCGTGACACTTTTCATCACTTGTTCAAGAGCTTCAGCGCTAAACAAGAAACAAGTGAGGCAGCAGGAGAGCGTCACATCCATACAGACTTTGATTCAGTTTCATTACCTCAGAGGTTGTGAATCTGCCACCATTATCCCTGAGAGCTTTATGGATGGTATCTCCAAGGCCTTTTCTATGTCTTCGTGTGTGCGTGTTTGCGACAGATGAACAGGTTTAGGCCAATTCCCTTTAAAGGGGTACTTGATCATAGCAGCACTAATAGTCCTCCCTCAGGGTACCATGGATTTTAAGGTGTCTGGGCAGAGAAGTATGTGAACTCTTGAGAAGAAAGCACAGTTTTGTGTTTGTTTTCATATGTCGGTTGTATTTCTTTTTACTTCATCCTACATTAAATATCTTGGTCAAAATTTCTCTTTCACTTCCTTGATAAGGAAGGATTCAGTTCACTATTTCAGGGAAATAACTTTGTGGAGGATTTTTGTTTAACATTTCTAGAGAAAATCTGATGAATACAAGAGAAATATGTGTGGTTGGAACATGATTCATTAGGGAGATGTCTGCTACTGGAGTTACTTTATAAAGAGTTCAGACTGTAGCGGAACAGAGAAGGGAAGGAATTATACTTCAGGAACACCTGAAAAAAAATGCATTGGGGGAAACTTCTCCAAAGGCAGGCAGAAACTGCATAATTTTATCTCTGTATGAGAGACTCTGTCACTGTGAGTCAGCATGAGTACTGATTTGCAGCCGCGTGCGAATTCGCTTGTGTCCTATGTTTTGCAGATTGTGCTTTTACTGAATGCTGAACTTGCATTGATTTCCTCCTGCTGGTCGCTGGGGCATTTAGTGACTGGCCCGAGATAAGTTGTACCAACTGATAGGGAGGCAGCTCCGCAGAAGTCTCCATGGATTTATTGATACGTAGGCCAGGGAACAGAAAACACGGATAAGGTAACCAGAACGAGCGTTTTGAAAGAATTAAAGTATGGAGAGGAAGAAAAGTTTTGAATAGAATCCATGTGAGGTGATTGTTAAAATAAAAGTCACATTTTTAAAAGGGAGATAACATCCTAAAGTCATTTGTTT